GCATGAGATTTGAGCTGCATCTTTAAGCATAATAAGGACCTCAGCAGGTAAGGAGGACAGTGGATGGTTCCAAGAACCTTCGAATACGCATGTGTGAAGGCACAGAGGTAAGAGTGTACGGGAGAGCTCCCAGTGGTCCTTGTGCATTCCCGTGGTGTGGTGGCCACAGGTGGTTGCTGGAGGTAGTGCAGTCGTCCAGAATCAGTTTGCAGAACACCCTGTGCCCTGCCAGGGGTCTGGCCATTACTCTGAACCATCCAAGCCTTGCAATAAGGCACGGGACCCCATCCATCATGTTCTAAAAAGTCCCTTCTGGTGGAACAGAGGGGTCGAGACAGGAGACACCGGGGCCACCGTGATGGTCCAGGTGAGAGGAGGGTAAGGCAGCGTCATGAGAACAGGGCAGAGGAGACTGATGGGAAATAGGTACTGCAAAGACAGCTGGCAGGATTGATGGTGTGGAAGAGGGAGAGAAGCAAGAATAACTCCGGGGTCCCTCCTAGGACAACTCAGCACCCTCATTACTGGGGTGGGGATGGAAGAGGGATTTGGTGAAGGAGGCTGATGAGCTCTGGGTTGGACAATAAATGTGAGGTCCTTGAGAAACACCAGGTGGCCAGGCCCACCAAGCAGGTGGACACTCAGTCCCTGAGCCCAGGCCTGTGGTCTGGGCTGGAGACATGATCTGGGAGGCAGCTGGAGTCTGGGGAGCAGAGTGTGTAGAGGACGAGGAAAGGCAGAACGAGGCCTGGACCACGAGGAAGGACGGTATTTAAAGGCCTAGTAGAGGCCGAGCATCCAATGAAAGGGTGAAGAAAGTGTGTGGGGGAGGGGAGGCTGGTTCCAAAGACATCAAAGAAAGGGCGTTTTAGAAGTTTCCAGACCTCCAGAGCCACAGAGGCGGATCAGCAGGAGAGGGGCCTTTCTGTCTCAGCAGCAGGGAGGCCTGTGGTGGTCTCGGCCTCCTGGGACCTTTCCTTGGAGAATGGAGTTAGGGCCCAGCTTCAGAAGACCAAGGAATACAGGAGTTGAAAGAATAGCATACACACACCTTTTCCCTTAACATTCTCATTCTGAAACTTTTCAAACATTCACAAAAGTAGAAAGGATAATCAATGAACTCCCAGTCCCACCACCCAGCTCCAACAACGATCAGTACATTGCCCAATGCAGCTTTTCAGAGAGATGCTTTTTCCTCTTCAGTGGTGCAATCCTACAAGACCTCTGACTCTCGGCTCACATGTAAGAGCAAGTTAACATCTTCTAGACACTTTCCTGCATTCCGAGGGGGACACAAAATTGCTCTGTGATAAACAAATCTCTCAAGCTAGAGTGTTCCTCACAGGCTGTGCAAACCTAAACCGTCCCCATCGGCCCAGTGCTATTCACGTGAATCTGGGGGGAAGAAGCATCAGGCGCCACCAGGGGTCCCAGGGCCTGGCACTGCACGTGGGTGTGGGGCAGCAGGGGCACGTTAGGAGCCTTTACCTGTGGAACCCTCAATGGCGTGCCCCGTTCCCCCAGAGCTGCGGTGGCAGCTGGGCTGAGATAGTCTCATCTCAGAACTGAGCTGGGCTCTACGCCACCCCCAAACGACCAGACCCCTGGCGGTCGTGCACCTCCAGGCCTCAGGGACCATCTTTTCCAATGAACTCTTGCAGATGTCTGTCTGAGCATTCTGTCTGACACTCAGCAGCAAGAACAACTTTTGTCCCTTCCTCTAGCTCACTCCATTTGGACCAGGAATTAGTCCCCTGCTCCCCACACAGAAAGTTTTTGCCCCTCTGATTTCTTAGTCATGGGAACCACTGCATTAAAAAACCAACCAAATACATAAATAAAAAAAACACAACAGGAAGTGAAAGATTTAGAGCTGTAGTTTCTTGAGTTTCTTCTGTAAACTCTACCAGAAGTGAGTACCAGGCATCAACTACCTTTCACCCTTTGTTCACTGAGCCCTTGTGGTTCCACTCTTTTTGTTCCTCTCCTTTTGCTGTTCACCCCGGTAATTATTTCCCCAGAGGACCAGCCTCCAGTTCTGCTAGGGAAAAATGTCAGTGCTAAGACATCTTACATGACAGCCTCAAATTTCTTAATGGCAAAGAAAAAGAACAAAAGGTCGCTTTTATTGTTCTCAGTTGAACAGCATTTTAATCACCCTGTATAGGCTTAATCCATCTTTATGGAATGAACAATTCTTTAATCAAATGGCTTTATTAAAAAATGGCCAAGACAGAGCAACTCACGCTTTCCCTAAATCTCTGCCCCGCAACTTTCTTACATAAATAGAATTTGTTAATGTGTTTATCCTCTTCAAAAGGATTTCAAGAGGCATCTACAGGCTTCTCACTGGTTACCTAGGCTAACATTCGAAGCCCCATCTACAGCAGCCCCGACAGGTGGTACCTAGATCACCTGGGTCATTTCAGTAATGCGGCATCTCACTTAATCAATCAGCCTGTTTCTTGCTGCTGGAATGTTCCTGATGGACCAGAATATGTATTTTTCCAAATGAGCTGAAACCTGCCTCCCTGCAAACTTTGCTTGTGGGATGGAGCTCTGCTTTCCGGGGCAGCCCAGAGTGAGCTGACCTTGTAACGCAACAGCCCAGACGTGTCTCACAGTAACTCTTCCTTCTTTTCCCTTCGACTCCCTTCCATTTGGTCTGTCACCAAACCTCCTCAGTTAGTGTCCCTGACCACATTTCCACAATTTGATACTTTCTTTCACAGAATCCGAATTTGCTTAGGTCAAATACACATTATGTTTGAAGCCAAGGATTTGTGAAGGCTGACATGTGACAGGCATTTGATTAATGGTAGTTATTATAAATGTGGTAAAAAAAAAAAGTCAAAGAAAAAGCCTACTCTGAAATATGGTCTCCTTGCCCATGAGGGATGTTTTAATGACCATTTGCATTCACGTGAATTATATTAAGACTCCCTGACGTGCAGGTGAAGGCCCCTTGCTCCCGGCTTATCTTTCTGTAGAAGCTGTAGACCAGAGCTGTCACTACTGCAGAGAGCAGGCCCCACCTGCGAATAAGGAGGAAACAGCAGCGGAGAGATGTGATCTAAGCGTCCCATCCTGAGCCCTCCCTGATACAGGGCTTTCTCTCCTCTGTTCCACCTGCCCAGGGCCTGGAGGGAGGAGTCGTTTCCAGTTTGCCTGCTCTTCTTTGCCTAACTGCCCTTATATTCTGATTGTACTCTGAAAATCTTGTTTTGGGGGTGGGAGGAGGGAAGAGGGAGAAAAGGAGAAATGTCATCTTCCTAGATGGCCAATCTGTAAGGTCACACACACACACACGCACACGCACGCGCACGCGCACGGCTTTATTTCATTTTACCCAGAGGTACATGCGCCATGTGTGAGCATCACTAACAGCACAAAGCTCAGGCTCTAGCTTGGTAAACTCAACTTTCTTTTCCCTTCCTTGCAAGTTTAAGAACATGCTAAGTTCATAAATTCTAAAAGGTGCACCCCAGGAGCTTATCACCTGGGTAAATGCATTCTCCACAGGGAACCCCTCACCAGGCACCTCCAGGAGAGCACACAGGCTGTGTAAATACCAGATTTGAAATTCTACCACCTGCAGTGACACAGTGGTGTGGGCAGACCAGAATCCATAGCTCTCTCCAGAACAGCCGTGCTGTTAATATTCAGAGCAACGGCTTCCCAGTGAAAAGACCAGAGGGTGCAGCTGAAAATATCCTCACCACTGGCTCACACAGGACTAGTTACTTTAGATGAGGGAGCTCACATCCAAGCGTACAGCCCTTGTCCTCCAGAACCTTCTACTACCCCCAGAGGTCAAGTTCGCAAATCCTCTTTCTCAGACCCTCTGGCAGGCGGATCCTGGCAGGGTTCCCCACCCAGTCTATGCCATTCCCCGTTCCCTGCTCATCAGTGAGCACCTCATCCTCAGGGAGGGAAAGGGCCACCAGCTGTGGCCAGCTCAGCCCCTGCCGGGTGGGGGTTCACCTGAGATCAACTCACACGAAGACGCCATTGCCTGTGTCTCTCTCCCTTGCCAAGCAGTAACGGTGATCATTCTTCCTCGAAGAAAAATGTCAAAACTTCCTCCTTCCATCAAAAATGGAGAGAGGTGAAGGGATTAAGAAGTACAAAGTGGCAGTTACAGAACAGTCACAGGGATGTAAAGTACAGCTTAGGGAATATACTCAATAATACTGTAATAACTGTGTGGTGCCAGGCGGGTACTGGAAACACCAGGGGGAACACTTTGTGGAGTATGTTCCTGTCTAACTACTATGCTGTACACCTGAAACTAACACATAATAAGTCTGAATGTAAACTATAATTGAAAAATAATAAAATATGAAAAAAATGGGGCTTTTATGAAGTGACGGAGCTGTGGAATAAGGCGTGGAGCGCCCCCGCGCAGCCAGAGCCCCGGGAACACACACCCTGCCTTTCACACCAGCTTGTCCTTCCCATACTTTGCTCTTCTAGACGTGGGAAAGGAGGGGAGGAATGCCATGTTTTGGCATATAACAGAGATGGAAATTGGGCTAGTCCTTCTTGGCTATTAGTCTAGAGCCAACCCTTACCAATAAAACCCTAGAGAATACATAATATAAGCAAGTCCTAATATTAATTCTTCAAGAAGCATGAAAAGCCTCCTTACACAACACGGCACATGACCTAAATCTTTCTATCGCATTTACTCCCTAGCGTGCTGACGAGACTCTTCTCAGCCGCTAGTGAGAGTGACCACGTCCCTTATTCAGCTGCCCATCACCTTCCCCAAACAGGGTCAAACACAACAGAGGATTAGGGACCCAGATGCAATTCCACACCCTGTTTTAAAAGTAGGACACACAACAATGATGACGATGCACGGTTAAACGAAACGGAGTTCTGCCTCTCAAAGACAATGGCGCTGGGGCGATGGCACATGGCATGAAGAGAGCGAAAGGGCGATGCCAGACACTTAGGACACCAGGAAGGGGGAGAAGTGAAAATCGGAGGGTTACCTCTCTCTGAATCCGGGAAGGCATGAGGGAACAGAGCAGAAAACAACACGTTAGCATTCACACAGCATCCGATAAATAAAACAATCCTGTCGACAGCAGCTCTGAGCACTGACATCCCATTGTATTCCCCAACTTTGCTTCAATGAATAACCTTTTGGTGCTTATTTTAGCTGAACTCTTGGACAGACGTGTGTATTTTGAGCCATGTTATGAAGAAGCCAAGAGATGCCAGCTGAGTTTACAGGCAACATATCAGCTGGGCGAGGCAATCAAGCTTAAAATATCACAGTCAAACACAGGAAATTGTTTGCAGTAAACACTGGCAGGGCACGTAGGTCCTTTTCCAGCTCCACCTACTCCCAGTAAAAAGCATATGGGAACAGTGACATGGAAACAGCCTTACCTGTTTTACTAACACTCCTGACATCCTATGAACAGAGCTACAACATCATAATCCAGGTGCTTTCACTGAAGTGCATCATGAGAGGGCTACAGAACGGGGGAGCAGAGACAGGGCAGAGGGCAGAGGGCAGAGGTGGGAAGTGGGAGGGCCAGTGAATGAGCGCTTACAGGGTGAGAAACAGATGTGCCAGGGAAGGGAGGAGTGGAAAGTGGAAAGATGCTGAGAGCAATTTGGGGTCTGGGGCCAAACACTTTCAGTTCCATCCCCAGATCTGCCCTGAGCCACGAGGGTCACACTAATGAAGTCTCTTAACCTCCTGACCAGGGTGCTCACCAGCCCCCTCTGGCCTTGTCACAGCCCAGTGAAAGAGTATGAGAGCAGAGCCCCAAGTCAGTCACATGCATACATTACACACAAAGCAACTGGATGGCAGAGGCGAGGCAAGGGAGCAACCTGCTTTCTCAGGTGCCCTGTGGCAGGCTCATGGAGCAGCCAGCAGGACCCTGTCGAAGGGGAAGCTACAACCATGGTGTGAAACAGCAAGCTCGCCCGACAGTGAGCCAGTCTTCAAGTGGAAAGGCAGAGCTGTACATGCTGAGGGAGCATGACCACAGCACATTACTAAGCGAGGGAAACCAAACAGGCTAACAATCCAAGTCGCAGATATCTGGTCTTATATGAAAAGCAACAAAGTTCGAGTGAGTACTATAAAGTATGCATAGTAATAAGTCTGGATTAACACAACACCCAGACTGTCCATTGTTATCTGGAGCGGGGACCACGGAGGATTTTATTTAAGTATTTGTTTGAATAGTACATAATGAGCACATGTGACATCTGTGATACACACAGGTAAATATCTACCTCAGTATTTGAAAGAAACCACTGTGCTGTATATACCCCAAGGCACAGGTAATATATAAGATTAAATAGTCACACTCCCAACAACTACCCTTTATTGAGCTCTGGCTCTGTGTTGTCCTAACAGCTATCTGAAAAGGTCAATATTATTGTTCTCACTGATAGAGACGAGACAAGTTCAGAGAGGTTGAGGAACTTGATGAAGGTCACACAGCTATTACGTGGTGAAGTCAGGGTCTGATGGTGGCTCTGCAGGACTCTAATTCTAGTCTTCTAGAATTTACCTATGATGATACCCCATTCTTCTTCACAGTCCCGCAGAACCATTTTGTGGTTTGTTCCCCAAATGACCCAGAAGGTTGCTAGACACAAGTGTTCGAAATAGGGGCAAAGACTTTAGCAAAGAACCTGGGGTTTTAGATAAGTGGGGAGCCTCCCTTTCTTTCCTTGGCCTGTGAATTTTTGAAGAGGAGAAGGTGGTTGAAAATTCCCAAGAGAGGCCCTTTAGGCTGAGTAAGTAGACAGAGCTGTGTTCAAATCCTGCTGGTAGCCACGTTCCTCTAGGTATGTTACTTACCTTCCCACTTTCCTGGGCTCCTGTGTGCTGGGCATGTTGTTAGATGGCGTGGCCCCTGGAACCTGGTTCCTCATCAGAGAAAAGGGATAAGGACACCTGGCTCAGGGCAATCATGGAATTAAATTAAATTAAATTAAATGAGGTGGTGTGTGTAAAGGAGCCCCCAGCATGTAACAAAGTGCAAAAATGGCATCATTACAGTTATTACCACTCAGTCACCCAGTGGTTTCATGTCTCAGCAAGGCTGTGCTGGGCAGCAGTTGAGATGAAATGTCTCCCATGGAAGGCAGGTCAACTGGGGAAGGATTTGTGGCCCTCTCCTCAGATTTGCTGGGTACCACTGACCACAGGATAAGGGGAGGTCACCTCCCGCTCACGTCCCTCTGCCTTAGACCCACTATCAAAATTAGTCTTTGGAGGCAATTCAGACTATCAGCAAAGGATCCAAAGACCTGGATTCAAGTCTTCTGTTGAGTGAACATTAGTCACTTACCCTCTCTATCTTGGGTTTCTCACCTCAGATTGGACGACCCAGGAATTGCATGGTGCTCAGATTTTTATCAGTAACAGATCTGTTAAGTGCTTTGCCTCTTACTACAAAGAAGTAGCAGATACCTTTCTCTGACTAGATTCTGATATATACCAAATGTTTTTAATTTTTTATTCTGAATGAAAAGCTTATGCCTAGTGCATGGCAAAAACACTAGGCCAATAACCTTAAATCTAGAGACCTGAGAATACAGTGTGTGTGTGTGTAATTATTATTGGAGCCCTGGCTATTTTAAGTCAGACCATTACTAGCGATTCACTTAAGAAAATAACATCGATATGTAGCTGCTGTGTTTATTCCCGTAGGGCCGAACGCAGAAAAACGACACTGCAAACTTTTAACAAGGTTAATTCCTTTGGGGTTAATAGACACTGCTTGATTGAAGTGTCGAAGTGAAAACCAGCCGTAAACAGGGACTTTAGGATGATCTCTGAAAGGTCATTTAAAAATACAAAAAGTCACAGTGGCAGCTGCTCTACCGATTTGACACCTTATAAATTTGCTGGGAAAAAAACATCAGCCCAAAACCTGGGCTTCTGTCTGAGACGCACCATTCCAGAAGACTAAATTTAGCCAGGCACAAGCTCACTCCCTTCTCACTGTACAAAATAGCAGTGGGAAAAATTAAACCCCAGGACTAATGCCACACCAGGCACATACCCTGGCTGCCTGATCAGCATGCCCTCCATGGCTGAATGTGGGAGTAACTGGCATTGTTTTCATTAAAATAAGCCTGAACTAACAGAACTACTTGGCATGTGTAACTGGGCATCCAAATGAATAGGAAATTCCTCCAAATAAATAGCACACCAGGAAGACAATGTCTGTTCCGGCTGTTTGGACGAGGACGCGTTTCCTAAGGCCCGGCACAGCCACCTACTTGTTATGCAGCACACAACCGGCTACTTTTCGCAAACTGAGCGCAGTGAGCAGGCTGCCAGTGTCCTCCTCGCTCCATTTTTGCAGAACTCCCTGCTTCGGGCTATTCTGATGCTTGTCTTTCATCACTGGGGGTCTTTTGAGCACCAGCACAGGCTGGCATCCTCCACATGACAACAAAGTAAAAACTATAACACTTGATGTCACAAAAACTCCCACGCCAACTCCTGAATCGAACAGCTTATTTCTTCCCCAGGTTCAAGTGTTGTTTTTTGTCCCTGGCATTGACTAGCTGTTTGCCCCTGGCCTCTGTGTTCCTCAGTTTCCGCATCTGTAAAATGGGAGTAATGGTGGTACTCATGTCCTAGGAGTGCTGTCAGGATTACGTTTTAATCCACGCAAGGCTCTCACAGGCTGGCGGCGTGCAGCGTTCACTTGACGTATGTGCTACGCAGTGTGGTAACCAACGGGGCTGAGAGGGGGAGGTGTGCCAGGAGGAAGGTTCCTAACCTGTTTCAGATCATGGACTCTTTTGGAATCTGATGAAAACACTCCAGAAACAAATGTGCACAGACCTACAATTTTATGTACAATCTTAGGTGGGAGGCGGCAAAGATTCAATAATCCCTGAAATTTATTCCCACACCCCTTTAGCATCCACGCCCTGCAGGGGAAAGTCCCCTGACCTGAACTGAATTCTGATTTTATGCAAATTTACCATCTGGTGTCTAGTGAGTTTCAGAAAATTCAGCTCAGGGAAAAGGTTCTGTCCTTCCCAGGATCCCACGGCTGCAACAGAAACACCCCTCTCTGCCCAAGTCTGCCCTCTACTTTGCAAAGCAAGTTCCCTCCTCACCTGCCTGCTCCTGCCCCCATCACGATGCGGCCTGTACCTGGAAGGAGAGTTACAGTTTCAGCAGACTAAGTGTGAAGCTGAGGGCCTAATGTAGTGTAAGGCTATTGAAATTCACGGCACATCCTTCTAAACAAAGGACTTTCTCATGCCACTGGAGAGAAGACACAATAGTTAGCGGTCAGCTTACTAATGAAAGAAAAAAGGATTTTGAGAGCAAACAGGAAGTATTTTTAAAAATCCATCTTTCAAGAGAGCACAAATGTGTTGTATTACAGTAAAAAACAAAACACCTCGCTTCTCTGAATATCTGAGCAAAAGAATACATGCATGGCATATTTAATCTTCAAGTGAGAAACAAATCATGCCATGTAACGATTTCACGGTGTAGAGTTTAGGGCATAATCAAAGGATAAAAAATCATGTAAATCATACCTGAATTGCAAAACCATGGGCTGGATTCCTTCCTGAAAGTTGAGATGGTAAAACAAAAACAAAAACTACTTGATACCCAGGAGGCTCCTATCTGACAAGGTACAGGAACGTGTGACTATTTAAAGACTGATACAGAGAGGGACAATGACAGCTCTCCATGCTGGGAAAGTGGTTTCCATGCAAGAAGTGCCATGAGGGCACAGACCACAGGCAAGGTACAAACAAGACTCCTGGTTAAAACCATGGTGAGCCTGTGGACGAATTCTCTTCAACTCCATGCACCCGGGCACATGGAGGGCCTCTTGTGGGCAAGACACATTCTTAAACCAGTTTCTATATTTTCAAGAGGATCTAGGGGCTATCACAATATGGCCAATTCCACTTCTTTGTGCAGATAGAAGGCATACTAGAGTAGATGACACAAAAAGCCAAGATATTTGACCTTTAT